TCCAACAAGAAATGATGTAGGTTAAGTCAGGTTACACTGGTCGGGGTCATGCGTTTTACACCCAAGTACGAGGGGATTAACAAAAGTTCAAACAGTTGCTTACATTGAAGCTTTTTTGTTAAATCTAAAAATACCAAATCATTTGCAATCATTTTATCAGTCTTTCTTTCAACTTTTAGATCCATCAAACAAGAAAACGCAAAACAGCTGAGGGTAGGTCAGACGAAATTTCACCACCAACGCAAACAGAAATTTGCCTTCTGATTCTCTTCGGGCTTCGGTGTAACTTGCAGCCAACACAAATATTCAGTGAATGCGAAAATGAAACGATCGCATCGTCTTTAAATGCTGTTTTCAAGTGGCTGCGAAGATTCCAGGCCGGATCCTTTTCCGTAGAAGACGAGCACCTAGAAGGTTGAGCAAAATCTTCAACTGATGACGCCACTATAGCTCCGATTTTTCCTAAATACAAGCGAGTGTAGTCAGTCTAGCAACTTTAGTAAAGATGTGACGAATCTTGGTTCCTTTAAGAACCATCCAGAAACCAAGCAGCAGTCCATGGTATGGAGCCCAACAGGAGAAAACCCACACGTAAAATCTAACTAACAAAAATCAGCAGCAAAAGTTATGATATCAGTTTACTTCACCTGATCTGAATTCGTAGCTGCTTTCCACTAGAAAAGCGTTAGGTGGTAACTGCGAAATGGTATACCGGAGAGTGCTTTCCGAAAATTTTAAAAAAATTCAGTTAGAAAACAGGAAGAAAAAGAATTTGCGGAGCTACTCTTAACATCATTACAACGCCCCATTCCACACTACTGAAATAGCGAGTGATATCATTGCCATCTCTGAGATCGGAGAAATACGTCTATGACCAAATTCCCCGGATACAGCACCTTGTGATTTTTAGTTATTTCTAAAAGTCAGAAAAAAAATAACAGACAGATTTTTCACCGCGACGAGGAGATAATTAACGCGGATAATGCTGAACTTGATAAGCTGAAAAAGCAAGATTTTGAAGACTGTGTTCAGAAGTGGGTTTGTAGACTTAAGAAATGCATTGAATTTAAAGGCAATGAGATGTCCAGAATATAATTTAGAACAGATATTAAATAGAAAAAGTTTTTTTCTTGATTCCTTATTGTACCAAATTTAAGTCCCCCATCCCCATTTATTCCCATTAGTCGTTGTAAAAAATGGCAATGCTTTTCGCGAAGCTCAAGAGAGTCTTAGTATCAACCTTTGAACAGTGAAGTTCCGATTCATTTAAGACCAGTTCTTGTTGAGATCGTAAAAAAATAGAAGGAAATGTTCTCAAGTTACACATATGACTTCATCCTGCACTTTTCATATATTGTCCCTGCTACTAATGCCCTTTATTCTTGTGTGCGATGCCAGTAGCGTGTGGCGATGTAAAACTTTGCCTTTGCTGCCACTACATATGACGCTAGTGATTTAGGACGTCGCTAATACGTCCCAAATCACCTTGATCCGGTGGCCAGCTCTTTCGGAAATTTCGTTATATATTTTTTTTCCTGAGCTGGTTACTAGTAAGACGGATGGCCATTTTGGTAATCCAAACAGCTATTTCATTGGTCCTGGCGGACAGCAATTCTGTATATATATATTTGCAGCCGTTTACCCTTGGCCACCCTGACTCCTGGTGGATTTCTGCTGCGATAGCCATTGGTTCTGAGCGCTCCTCTTATAAACAGAATGTCTTAGTGCACAACAATCTTAACTTCTCTCTTAAGAAATCTTTTCACTATGTACGTCTAGAAGGTATTGTACCTGGAAGAAACTATTGAAACCTATCCTGATACCGAACGAGTTGTTCAAAGCTGTTGCAAGCTGATTTAATATATCGCAAATATTAGTTCCAGTAACTTAGATTACACAAGATGGTGTTAGAAAGATGCTATTTTTATTTTTTTTTTTAATTTTTTTTTTTTGAATTTATAATGGGAGAAGAGTTGATCACTTAACTCGGTAGATATAGGCTAAAACGTAAGAAAGGCAGTTGAAAGTGTGAATAGTGTTTATGGTTCTGTTATCATAGAAGTCAATCAATCACGTTCATTCAATCATTTCATCCAATTTGTTCCGGTAATTTTTATGAAAAATATGTCGATGGAGTCGAAGGTCAATTGTCGAAGATGTCAAAAAAATAACGATTTCGATTGCCCAAGCGCTAAACATTTAAAAAAAAGTTAGTTTGGGACCACTTGAAATTAGATGGATGATAAGTGCTATAATTAACAATAGAAAACCTCATGAACCGAATTTCCATCTGTGAGTCGTCCCATTTCTGAAGCGGTTTGTGACTTTTGTTGAAAAGTGGATCACTTAAAGCAACAACATCTTACAAAAACTGTGAGGAAGATTTTGTTGTGTTGTTTGGTGGTATTGGCAAGCAATCAATCCCAATCAACTCGTCTCCTACAGCCAAACTCTTCAATAGGACCTAAACTCTGGTAGAAACTGGACCAACTTTGGTCAATAAAAGAGGTATTGTTTTTCATCATAACAACACCAGAGCACAAACATCGATAGTAAATCGCCAGAACTTCCGAAAGCTGGATTGGTCAAAGTCTGGACTTCATACCAAGTGATTACCATCAGTTCCTGTCTATGGCGAATGATTTGATTTGATCGATCATCCTTTTATTTGCCAAAGGGATGAATATTTCTATGAGAAGGGCATAATGGCATTACCATTAAAATTGGAAAAAAATTTCAAAAAAGTTAGATAATTCTAAGTATCAGGTGCAACTTCCTGCTCCCGCCGTTTTCCGACAGGTGGCTGTGGCTGGTTGAAATACATAGATGATAATGCCTTTAAAGTGAGTGTGGACAGCGCCTAACGAAATGTCATCGCCGTTTCAGTGACAGTTGTTCTTGGTTTTGTATTATTCACGCTCGAAAATGTCCGTTTACGCGCCTAATTCTCGCAACTGAAGCGCAACGTGCTCTGAGTGAAAGAACGTGTCGGGAGTGGTTTCAACGTTTTAAACATGGTGATATCGATGTCGAAGACAAACATGGTGCTTATGATTTGTGTTTGGTGGGATCAGCTCGGTGTGATTCGACGAGCTCTTAAAACCGGGTGAACCATCACAGGAGATGGCTACCGAACGCAACTGATGCGACTTAGTCGCGCGCTAAAAGAAAAGCGGCCACAATATCAAGAGCGACATGACAAAGTCATCCTCCAACACGACAATGCTCGGCCTCACGTCGCAAAAGTGGTNTTTTTTTTTTTTTTTTTTTTTTTTTTTTTTTTTTTTTTTTTTTTTTTTTTTTTTTTTTTTTTTTTTTTTTTTTTTTTTTTTTTTTTTTTTTTTTTTTTTTTTTTTTTTTTTTTTTTTTTTTTTTTTTTTTTTTTTTTTTTTTTTTTTTTTTTTTTTTTTTTTTTTTTTTTTTTTTTTTTTTTTTTTTTTTTTTTTTTTTTTTTTTTTTTTTTTTTTTTTTTTTTTTTTTTTTTTTTTTTTTTTTTTTTTTTTTTTTTTTTTTTTTTTTTTTTTTTTTTTTTTTTTTTTTTTTTTTTTTTTTTTTTTTTTTTTTTTTTTTTTTTTTTTTTTTTTTTTTTTTTTTTTTTTTTTTTTTTTTTTTTTTTTTTTTTTTTTTTTTTTTTTTTTTTTTTTTTTAGTGTAATACGTATTTTTTTTTTATTTGTATGGAATTTTTATGCGAAACGTTTTTTCATTAAATTCTACACGATATAAAAAATTAAAAATATGCACTTAAGAACGGAGTTGCATTTATTACCACTACAATTTTCAAATTGTCCTTATTACTATTATTAATATTATTATTAATTTAAAGTTAATTTTGACTTCCAAATATTATGCAGCATTTGATATTACATCTATTAAAAAAGCTTTTTGTACGATATTAAAAGTTTTTGTTATTGTGCTAGGCAAACACTCGACCCTACTCTTTTATATCCAACGGTACTATGTACTCAAGATATATTATTAACTGTGAGGCGCCATGGATAAAAAAAGCGAGATGACAAATACCCTAAAAAAAGCTGCTGCAACTGCAAATTCAACTAAATATCCTACAGAATACTTTATACTGTCCAACCAGTCGATCACGTCTTTAAAGAAGAGATCGACTGGTCAACCTATGAGCAATGTATTTTCTGTTGTACATTACTAATAACAGACCGAAAGGCGCTTTATATCCACTGAAGCGATTTTCGTCGCGTTTTTTGTTTCCAAACAAATGTAGGCACCTACGGTCTGAACGACCGATGAATATTTTTTATTTCATATCAGAAATTCACTTGGAGGGCTTGAGGTCGAGATTTAGCTGTAATTTTTTGTATTTAGTTTTAAAACTTATCGTTAGGCTTTAAAAATGCAGATCAAATAAATAAATTTCACAAAAAAGAAAATAAATTCAATGCTAAGAATTCAAATAAATATTTATATTTAAAAAAAAATTTATGGAAATATAAAATTTTACTTGTAAATTCTATTCGGAAAATAGTATTAATTACATCTGTCTGGTACAACGTTTACTCGAAAATAAAATTGAGATTGTTTCTTCAACTTGAGCATTCAACAGAATATTAAAACTATTTTTTTCTTTTTTTTTTTTTGAATTGCATTTGCCTTCAAATTTACCGCAATTCGGTCAATACTACTATTAATATTATTCCCAATAGCTTCCCACCTCACGTCTTTCCGCACGATGAGTACAGTTCGCCTGATGTACGTATGTTTTTAATCAATAACCATAGTCACCTGATCTGCCTTAGTGTGACTTCTGGTTCATCAAGAAGCTTAAAAACCCTACTCCAGAGAAACCGTACTGAGTCGAGTGGCATTACTATAAAATTGATTTAGTAGAAGGAAACATTTTTTATTTTTCAAATTGTAATAAAAAAAATTGTAATAAAAAAAATCTCAATAAAAAAAACTCAGCAAATGTATACAGCGGTGTGTTAAAAAAAGTTCTCTCCTCTAAAGCGATTTTCCTCTTAAAATAATATTACATTGGCTCATGAAAAAATTTTTAACGGTTGTGAATTGTAGAAATGAATATGTTTCGTATGCAAATTCTCCAATTTTTGCTACAAAATTAATACTTTTAAATTACCTAATTTTTCCTTATTTTGATGTTAATCATTTGGAACGAAAAATTGTATCAAGTCATTTTAAATTTAAATAAATTTAAAATATAATTCTTTTGCTCATGCCAACTCCGAAAAACTGTCGAAAAAGAAATCCAAAATACTTAGATGGGTATTAAAGTAATGCTTTCATGTAGAGCATAAATGTATGCATGAGTGTTTGTATTATAGCAGTACATACATATGTGATTTTTTTCCAAAATAGTTTCGGCGTTTCTAACTAAAGCTTATACTCGTATTTATAATATTCTACAAAGCTCTCTAGCTTATTACCTTAACTATTTTACTTCCTAAAAATTAAACGATTATTTTGTGATTAAATTAATTTACGATAATAGATATATCACGCCGCTGGGGATAGATATGCCTTAGCTGATCTCTGTAACCTCTGGTAGCAGTAACATGAGGCCAGCTGCGCTGTTAATGAAGAGAACAGTGATAGCCAATGCACTGTTAATACCGTAAGCTGCGCTAAAGCAAAAGAATTGCTCTGTAAGTGTGCAGCTGAACTCTTTTGCATAGCCGCTGGGGTTTCATCTGAAATACAAAAAAAAAAAATTTAATAAGAATTAAATAATAATAAATATTTATTTGTAAGGCTTCCATATATGTATATAATAATATAAAATATTATATAATCCAAAAAGGTATTTAAGCACAAAAATTTGTTCTGAAATAACACATAAAAATAAAATCAAATAAATTAATAATTTGTTTTTGCGGCCATGCTATATATATTTTATTAAGTAAACTACGAGGCCTTGTTATCTGTATGAATTGAATATTGGTTATACAACAAAGAAAAATGGCTTTTTTGGAAAGCACATAATGGTTAAATGAATCGGTCGAAGCCAGAGAAGGCCAATTTTTTAGAGAAGGCGTTAGAAAATTGAGAGAGTTCAATGTCTCCAAAAGTTATAGCTACCGAAGGATAAGACTATGAATGGCTTTTTTTTATTTTTAAATACACTTTTTTCAAATACAAAAAGCAGTCCGAAATATAAACTTAAATTGAACAAATCGAAAATAAATTTCTTTTATTTGAGTCTATAATATTATATGATAACATGTATATATATATATATATGTATAACTCGAAATAAATGTTTAAATATGAATCCCTTTCATGAAATTCATTCTTGCATTCAAACTACAAAAATATCTATGTATGTATATGTGTTATGTATTTAAATATTTACCATTTATAACATTCACCATAACGCTGGCCGCCTCCGCTGTTGTCGGCATGCAGGTATAATTGCCCGAATCAGCGGTTTGGGCATTCGCTATGCGCAACCTGTAATTAACGATGGAATTGAGGGAGAGAAAGAGAGGTAGATAGAGCAGAGTATTAATCCCTTTCAGCTATTACCAAAAATATAATACGTTTTTGAAACAAGAATTTTTCGAAAAAATGAAATTTTCAATTACAAAATGAAAAACCAAAAAAACTTTTCCACTATGATTGGAAGCAATGTCATTGCCACTACAAAGCATTCCCTGCGGTCATATTCCACATTTGATTTTTTCCGGTTGCTCTTTGTCGAAGTTTAGTCACGCGTTTTAAATGCCACATCAATTCAACTCCAACGATCAAACTATTCTATTTCTCATTCTAGTCACACTTTATAGCGAGCAGGTAGTACTCGTGAGTAGTGCAACGCATAATACACGTATGCATGTATGTATGAAAGTACTGTACACTACATTGGAAAAGTATTAAGAGTGTTGGTAAAGAGTAGTGAGGATGCATAAGTCATAGGAAAGTAATTTGCAAGATTCATAAGTTCTTTTCTCCTTCTTCATCCAGGCCCTTCTCAGCGTGGTCTTTCCAACGGAGTGGAGGTCTTCCCCTTCCTCTGCTTCCACAAGCGTGTGCTGTGTGTGAGTGATTTCAGGGTCAGTGCTGGAGTTCTAATTTGACCAAAATTAATTTTTCTAATTGCGGTCGACGCTTGGAAAGTCAACCCCCTCATAAAAAACCATCTGCCGTTCGGAGGCGCAAAACCACAAATTGGAATTGGAGTTCTGCTGAAAATCGCTTCAGCGGTAACAATGCTTCAACTATAATTTATACATACATGTATAATGGCATTGGGTCTGTTCCCTACTACGAAATTAATCAGAAAAAAGCTCCTTCATGTAAATATCTAAGACCGGACTAAGGAGTTATCCAGTTAAGATAAGATTCAAGCCTTGACTCAGTATAACGCATACTAATATGGCTTTATCATTCATATCGCTAACGGAGGTTCGACTCCGGGCTACTTTTAGAACTAATAATGGGGTGCTATGTGTTCAAATTAAGTTTGGTGAAGGAGACGAAATCTCAGGTAGTATGAAAGTGACAGGCTTAGATCATATTTGGTGAGCTTAAGTTCCTGTATCTTCAATCGGCAAGGGAAAATGCGCCAAAATGCCAAAGAGAACATCAAGGTTCGTCTAACTGAAGACACAGCAGGAAGTGTATTAGTTCAGGGCTTTGGTTGTCTATATTTTGCTCTTCTGGTAAAGCTTTAGACATGTTATTGTTAATATGGGACTTTTCAACGAGACAATCCGACTAAACAAGTCTATACTCAAGGATATATATGATATGGTCCTTCGATTTAAAATCTGAAAAATCGGATCCGACCTGTTAGGTTCTGCCAAATGATTACTTAAATGTTCCAAGCTTAGCTGAAATATCTCAAAAAGGATTGGACAAGTTTTAGTACAAACAGAATGGGGGATGGACACGGCTAGATTAACTCAACTCGTAATTCTAATCCGATCGGGAAACCTTGATGTGTTAATCACTTTTTTTTGTCTGGTACTCTGATGAGATCGCTTTGCCTACACCAGATTGCAGTTGAATATTCCTCCTTACCAGTACTGTCTAAGTTGTGTCGATCCAATTTGGTAGACTCAAAAAAATAAGGCCAAGCTTCAGGTCCAAACAACGTTCAGATAGATTTCCAACAAACTCCTTTTTATTAAGTTCCAACTAACTTGGGATGAACCTCTTTCAGCTAAATTATATCCTGAGGGCTTGCGAACAGAAAAATATCTACCATAGCCTTAGACTTTGCGCTATCGGATACATGAATGGGTGTTTTGTAACGACAAAGAACCCGCCTTTAACTCACTTATAATTCTGGGCGGTTTTTTATTCATTGGTGTTATTATAACCTCAAAATATCAAGGTGAAAACCATTGGTTTTTGAACGTTAGTAGTGAATCCTTATTAGTGGTCCAAGATGGGTGGTGCACCTCTACCATTTTTCATTACATATATCACGTGAAAATTTCAAAAGGAACTTTTTCTTCTTCTCTACTGGCTCCCAACATCGACTCATCAGGTATTGTGATCGTCCATACCTCTGCGCCATATAGCAGAACGGAAACGTTGAGCAAATTGTAGAGTTTTGTCTTATTTCGTTGAGAGAGGACTTTAGTTTTCAATTACCTTTTATTCTATATGTAAAAAATATTATATTACAGTACGCACTCTTCTCTACCACACTGTAAGCAAATCCGTATATATTGCGTGGCATCACATTTTTCCAGACAGGATGTGTTTAAATGTATATTTATATGGATTTTTACGCATCCGTCTATTACAACAGACTGCCAACGTCGACAAAAAAAAAAAAAAACAAGAAAAACCAAACCAAAATCAAAAAACAATAAAACTCAAATTTCAAAATCAATCAACCGTACCACGCCCACCTGGTGTCCTCCTGTTTAATCCATGGCAATTTTCCACTCACCTGCTTTGCAGCTTTTCGCCCAACTGTGATTCCATTGATATGCGTCGCATATCGATGGCGGCCTCATTCGGATGCACCACAAATGGCGTTAGTATGTAGTGAGCGCGGTACCAGTAGATGGGACCGATATCCGTCACCGATGACGGTTGTTTCACATGACAGATGAGCGTAATGACGCTGCCCACTTTCACATAGAGATCAGCCGGGCCGACAATCACTGCTCTGGCATCCGGTGGTGTGACTGTAGCAAGCAAAAGAAAAAGAAGAAATTGAAGGGATTCGTTCGAAAAGTTTTCTGAATATATTAAAACTAAGCTGATATTTTTTTAAAGTACTTTTAGTAGTAGAAGTGTAAAACGAGATAAAGTGATCGTGTTTGATCAGTCATCCATTAAATAGGCTAATCTCCAAACACTACTTAGAAAAATTGTTCCGAGACCACCACTTTGGGAAGCCCTCTTAACTTGAATGAAGTGAACTCCTCTATGAATAGCTACCACTGTGGAGCCCTACCTCCACCATCAGATAAAACGATAAAACTTGCAGTGGGTGATTGTAAAAAAAAATAACTGAAACAACAGGGCTGTTTCGGCTGACTTCGCTCCTACTCCATTATCCCCGTTATTGGAATCGTTCGCACTACAGACTAAATGATCACCGGGAAGTGGACACTTACCAACTGGTAAGGTTCAAAACCTACAACTCAACCTTGAGTTAACACAAAGTTAAGTCTACCCGCGCTGGGGGCGTAGCCACCTCTCTATGTCTCTATGTGTCTAAGGCTGAGAAAAAGCTTAGAATGTGCTTTTCTATTACAAACTAAATTCAGAGAATGCACTCATATTTCACTAGACCATTGTGTCTATTGCCAATAACGTCTTTGGAAATGCCGGAACACTAGCCACTCTACACTACATCCTCTTATCAACCTGAAGGCTACAGCACGCTGCATCACAACTAGGCCAAGCGGAGGCGCAGACAGGCACACAAGCTAATATAATCAGTATTTGCAGTAGTAGTACTTCCAACAAAGCGTCTGCAAGGCAGAATAGTTTTCATAAAGCTGGCGATATGTATTCAAGCTATGAACAGACTCTGTATATTATGTATACCCCGCCAACTGCTTTCCTCAATTAATCCTAAAAGTTCAGTGAATTTTCCCTCACAAAACTCGGCATTCCCTTCATCAGGCGCACGAAATTCACAGAACATATTGTTGGATTATAAACGGAAAAGCCGTCTATTTTTGCAAATTTTACCTCCGAATTGTTGAAGGACAACCGTCCGATGACATACCCAACCGAGTGACAAAGGCAATTTGAATTGATTAAAACTAATTTTTTTTGGCTTTGGCTCAAACGGAATACCCGCCTTATGAAGGAAGCTGTTGCCTTTCCACGCAGAAGTAGAGAGCTTCTAAAGCAGATGAGTATAAAAGACTTAAAGTGGGGTGAGACATAAGCTATTATAGTTCTGTGAATAAAATCTTGTAACACAATATATTGACGGCGCAAAAGCACCAGTGATAATTTATTGGTTGAGATACTCAAATACGAGGGTGGAAAGGGACGTGGCTAACGATTGTAGTTCAGTCTTTGCCGTAAATAAGAAAAGGTGCTTGATGATCACATAGAAGGACTTCTTCTATGACAACTAAAACACGAAAGAAGGGCAGTATCCGGTCTAGTAGGAGTCTTTATACCTACTTGACCATATTAAACTCTTGGCATTGCACACAAAGCCTAAATTGTAATACTCGTATTTGCAATCTCGGTTGGAGAAGGCTACATGATATAGTGAAAATGCACCATATGGTTCATTTTCCGACTAAGCGGAAGTTCGGATATAGACTAAGAGCTGTTACGGTATATATTTCAATTTCTTTTAAGAATATAGTCGGTTGAAAACATTCCCGACGACAAGAGCTATGAAAATATGATAGAAACCCCCCACCTCTTCGTCGATTCGGTGTCCCCAAAAGCTTATACAGCTATATAAATGCACTTTAAGTAAGACCAAAGCCTCCATCATAACGGGGAAGAACCTCTCGGAGCTGTTCGATATCAAATGAGATTTCAGACAAGATTATTCCTCATCGTGTGACTTTTTTCATTTGTTGTTGGAGAAAATAACTGCTGAGCTGAATAGAGAAGTTAAAATGTTCTAAAAGAGTGTACAGCTACTGGCGTATGACAAAGATGTTGTTATCATTGGCCTCAGAAACCAAGCCATAAATTTTACTTTGTCCGGAGTGGACGAGGGTAAGACAAACAACGAAATTAACATCAGCAACAATGTTAGCATGAAAATCCAACGCAGAATCATGCTTGCCAGCAGTTGTTACTTTGGATTGAGTAGGCAATTGAATAGTAAAGTCCTTTCTCGGCGAACACAGACCAAACTCAAATATAACTCATCATTCTCGTCCTGATCGGAGACATAGCCGAAGACAACATATCGTTCGGAGTTTTCGAGAAAAAGATTTTGCGTAAGGTTTATAGTTATTTGCGCATTGGCAATGGTGAGCATCGCAAGGACATTGACAAAGTTCAACTAATCAAGAGATAGCGTTTAGGCGGGCATGTAGTACGAAAAGATACAAACTCACCGGTTTTGAAAGTTTTCACTGCAGAGGAAGAAAACGACCTTCTGGAATCGATTTAGCATTATGTCAGAGTGGTGTTCCATTTTTTTCGTAGTGAGATTGTCACCTCCACTTTTACTAATTACGATATGTATGTGCGCATGTACATACGTACATACATATGTATACCTACAATGGCTGTTGGTCAAACGCCTACCAACGACCACAGACGTCAAAACAAACTACCGCACGAAAAGGAGATGATACTTATTAGTTTTTCAGTCGGGTATGTGTACCCAACTTCGATGCACCTCCAGATAATACTCTAAAACCTATTTTGTACTGGGCTTCGACTGCCCTTAAACAAGCCCCGACTGGCTTCTCCATTAGCCTCGACTGGCAAACCACTATTCTATGTTTATACAAAATCTCACAAACAATTTTTTTTTTCAAAGCAAATTGCACGCCTGCGTAAAAAACTGGAATCTTATCCGGCACGCACTGACGAGACAGGCCGCAAGCTACGCGTCAGCCTTCAAAATTCTCCTGCGAGTCGCTCCCATTACTCAAAGGGACCGGGTTGTATAGCGCACGCCACCATGGCACACCAGGTACACTGGGATAATTTTTGCCCTCGCCGCATTAAAGACCATACCGAATGCAAGTGTGCCATCAATCCATGGCTTCAAATATTTGCCGACAGATGTCACAGCTAACGCTTGGAGTGAAAGGAAGCTTAGCCAAAACAAAGGAAATGAACAAACAAACACAAAAGAAGTTTTTTTTTTGTTGCGGCCAGTACGCGACAAGATTTACATCTCGCCACCTGCGTCAAGGTTCCGCCTTTTCGTTTTTAGCTGACTGAGACAATGTTCTCTGTGCTTAGTGGCCCGACAGTATCTTCTGAAGAATGTGTTTTCGGCGTCACCTTCATTGGCATCGTCATAGTTATATCGCAGCTACTCAGCCTTTCCTATTTTGTGTAAATATTTCAGGAAACATCCGAGCCCCAATAGCATCTGTATGACGCAGGAGTCCACCTCTTTAAATTTCATGTTTGTGCATACTTAGACAACTGTTGTTAATCGTTAATCGGGTTTGCCACTGACTCAGGACTTCGTTTCGTATGTCTCCTTTTATGGCATTTACGACGTTTGCTTGGGCCCTAATTTTTTTAAGTGTCCAGTTCCTTTTCCTCTCGGTTGCCAATCAGTCGATGGCAATGCATCCGTTTATTACTGATACCACTTCGCCTGATACGGTACGATACGCTGATGCAACCCGCAGAGCTGAAACGCGATGCGAGTAAGACAGCCCATAACTCTGCTTACAGATGTCGACATCAAGAGCTTTCTCTTTTCCTGTTCTAGGAGCTTTCTCTGTGGCGTTTTGATTTGCGCCACAGTCCAGTCTTACGTCTAAATACTTCACACTTTTGTTGTTCTCAGAATATTAGAGGATGTGTGCATGTCAACCTCCAAGGAATATGCTTCATCCGTAGAAGTTGCAACTAATTTTTTTTTTTGCTGTGAGTCTTAGACCACATAAATCAAGCCACATCGACTAAATATGTGTCATCAAGCATTTGCAGAATTATTAGCCAAGAACTGTCACTTCCGCAAAACAAACACAAAAATAGCTTTAGCGGAATACTTTTGCGGCTACAATAACAACAACAACAACAACAACCCTTTCTCCAATAGAAAGGTCAGATGACCTTTCGGGTTACTATGCAATCCTAATTCCTCCGAAAAAAATTTATTTTTATATTTTTCCGATTCAAAAGACGAGAGAAGCCTTTTAGGTTGATAGCAAAATCGCAGCGTGTTGCTGTCAACACTTTAAGTATCATTAAGTATAAACATTCATACAAACAGACCGCAACTCATTAATGTTTCTAATCACGAAAGATATCACTTACACTAATACAAACAACTTCAACTTGAACTTTGCAACATTGTAATTACACACACGCATACACACACAACAGCAACAACATTAGATATCAGCATAACCCAGTATAGAGACTAGAAATAAGCAGCGCAAAGCATAAAACTGTCACCACGCCACGCCACGCCGCGCCAACCGCAACCAGACACCCCTGCTGTTAAGCCGGAAGCGCCGACACACAAGCAGAGGCCAACAAGGTTTGCCTACGCAATATGAGTATGCCATGTATGAGAGCGTATGCGTGTGTGTGTGTGTGAAGAGCCATGTGTGAAGGTGATTGTGTAAAAGAGAACTGAACTTGTAGCTGCAGAGGGGTGTGAAACGGGGAGACGGCAATGAGCAGAATCCCCTTGTGTGTAGCAACACTCGAGCTACAGATGTCATTACCTCATTTTCGGCTCGGCAACGCCGCCGGGTGCCGTGTGCTGTGTGTAGACACGCAATAAAGCATCTTCTACGCACAAATAACTTAATCACAGTCGTTGGTGTGCAAGCAATTTTCGAACGCTTCTAAAAAGGACTGACCAAGCAAAAACGGCAATTTGATAAGGCAATAAAAAAGTAAGCAATAAAAAGAACATTAGAGAAAAAATAAAAAAAACACAAAAAATAAACAAAAAATATAAGAAACGAATTAGAAAAAAATTGTTTACTTAAAAGAAACGAGTAAGTAATTTCAGCTTAAGCGGGTGAGGTGAAAAAAATTT